CCGGACCCAGAACTGATCCCTGCGGGACCCCACTCGTTATGTCCTTCCAGCATGACTGTGAACCACTGATAACTACTCTGGGAACGGTTTTCCAACTAGTTTTGCACCCACCTTATTGTAGCTCCATCTAGGTTGCATTTCCCTAGTTTGTTTACGAGAAGGTCATGCGAGACAGTATCAAAAGCTTTACTAAAGTCAAGATATACCACCTCTACTGCCTCCTCCCTATCCACAATGCTTATTACTCTGTCAAAGAAAGCTATTGGGTTGGTTTGACACAATTTTTTCTTGACATATCCATGCTGACTGTGAGATGTGAGATTCGACTCTCCACAAAGCTGCACCATCATGGGATTACAATGGTTAAGTGAGAAATCCCTTTCTATGTTCAAAATTATCCTGATTTACTGAGAAAAGCCCTGAGGGGAACTAGGTTGCTCCTTGGGTGCTATCTGTCCTGGGGGAGCAGGCAGGCAACCTTTCATGTTCCTGGGGACATCCAGCAAGCTACTTCTACAATCGAATTGAGGTATTTGTACCAGTATCCCTCCTCAGCTGAGTAGTCCTCCAGGCCAGGATCAGTAGCATGCTATCTCCCCCATGGAAATAGCCTGGAGAAGTACCACATGCACCACCACGTGCAAGACTAGACAAGAGGACAGTGGCTTGCAACAAAGAATCTTCTCTTTCAAACATTATTAAATAGACAGTTTTCCTTAGCCACCTCCATTGAGAACATCTTAGGATCCAAATGAAGATGTCTGATCAAAACTAAATTTTAAACTAAATGTTATATAACAAAGACATTTCATATGTTTTGGAAACCTAAGGCTGGTGCAGCAATAGCTTCTCCAGTGAAAGACAGGCACACCTTCAGAAGTGAGCTTTTTTTCCAAAGGACCATAAGAGAAAGGACATACAGTGCAGCAATTTCAAAGCCTCAACTATAGCCATTCAGGCCAGAGGTTTTTCATATACTTAGTAAGGAAAACCTAGTTGATGGCAAGCAGGTGGTTCATCTAGGTGTACAATCCTTGTCTGGAGTTGAACATCTCATGTGCTGACCTTGTCAAACCTTTGATGTAATCTGTGATGAGCAATGGCTTCTGACTTGACAGCTACAAAGAAGCAATATTATACCCAGGAATAGCAACCAGTCATCTTTAAACAAATATTTGGTGCAACCAAATTTAGAGGTGAGTTGCTTTTCCAAGAACATTAGAGAAATTAACAACTGAAATAGCATGGTGGCCTCTGCCCTCACTGTCAAAGCCAGCATAGCAGTCCATCAGTTGCTACCAGTACTGGAGGTGTCCAAGAAGGAACCGGTTGCCTTAACAGAAGTAAAAATCTGAAGCAGAAATTTCCAAGGAAATCTAGATGCATTTTCTTCCAAGCCAACAAAATTGTCAGCATGACAAAGACAAAAAGAGCATTTGTGAGAGAGCGCTCATGATTCCTGCACAAGACTCTTCCTTTTGATCCACCTGCTGCTTCCAGTCTTAAGAAAAAACTGGAGGTAGTCACAGCACAGGCATAGGTCTCAAGTTACACACTTACACAACAAGCCAGTCAGTGTCCCGTCCAGTGAAGCAGACCTATTCATAACTAGAAAGCTGCTAGAGAGAATGCATACCTACCAATTTTTCGAAATCAAGAGAAACTTTTGAACCAAATGTAGAGAATTGCTCACGTAGGAGACAAAGACATATCTCTAGCTATACTTTTACCATCATGGAAAAGATTTCCAAAGATCCAGAGCTTCATTGCATCAGTCATTTCTTGACAGTGGTCATCCATAGCCATTTATCTCCGATAGCTAGGATTGCTGGTGTTGTACATTGGCTTCTTTCGCGGAGTGGATTTCTCAAAATGAAGTGCAGAAATTGCTTCTGAGAACGTGGAACCACACACCTTATACGATGCAAAATTAGTGTCATTCCCACATCATATCCAAATAGTCAGCATGTGGACAGAGCATGCTGTACAGGGATTGCTTCCTACAAAGTGACCAAGCCAATCCCAAAAAGTTTGATACAATATATAGTAAATACAATATAAAGTGTAAATCTATATAAAGGAAAAGATTTTCTGTGTAACTTTGGATATGTGTTATTTCCTATACCCACCCACTAATCTTGAGTCTGATCAACTCAGCGTAGCTTTGCTGTATACCAAATAAAAATATCTCAGTGAAAAAATCTGAAGTCGAACTGAGTTCTTGGGAAGCTGAGTGGAAAGAAGTCTTGGAGGGAATTTCCAACAGGCAGTTTAAGTACAAATAACACGCAGAAAGTCAACCTAATTTTCATTCTAGACAATTGCATATTCACTGTGTAAGCAAGTTTTGTAAGGGGGGGGGGGCATATCTAGAAGACAAACTTCCAAAATCTGAGTACACATCCTTTTAGTTCACTTCAGCAGCTCTTTCAGTGGTGTCTCTGAACAACTCCACCCACCATAACACAAACCTCACTCCCCACAAACATGGCCATAGGGAATCAGACCAGTGGTCCATTGAGTCTAATATCCTGACAATAGCATTGGCAAATATCAGCTGTTCCAGAAGAATGTGCAACTACGTAGCAGGGAATTATAATAATAATCACAAAGTTCTAGTGATCTCAGCTACCTTATTGTTTCTCCAGAATGTTTGATAGGAGCCCTACAACCAAGCACAATAGAAATTCAGGTACCAGTCCTAGTGGTATTCTGTATGTAGCACATCAGACTCTCCATTTGAATATCAAATACCGAGATTAATCAGTGGAAGACTAGCCATGCTTCTGACTGGCTCTTATTACCTCTAATAGGTAGTTTTTGGAATTGATTCCCTGTCTCTAAAAGAACCACAATATCAAATTACTCTTGTAGCTTCAGAAAATTTTCTGTTCAAGTAAGTTCCTTTTTCCACTATTCCTGGAAATAGTTCTTCCATCATTTTGTTCTGTTAGTACTCCTTTGGAGGAGTATGCCATAAATGGGCTTTCATGGGACTTAAAAGATATCTCAAACATATGGAGTTCACATGCCAGGTGTCTCTTTTCATCTCATTAAGTCCAAAATGCTAAGGCCTTAGGGCTTCAGAATTGCCTCAGGCAAGATGTTAAAATCGTGCACCAACTGGTATGCTAGGCAACCGGCAGAACTTATTCACAGGTCATGAGCCTAGACTGAGGATGATTTTAAAAGTACGTTTTTTCCATTCCTTTGCTTCCTTTGGTAGGAAGGTACAGCTGAGTTGGTTCCCAGATAATACCTTGTCATTCCTGCCTGTTATCCACTATAATAATTAAAACTCTGCTTGTTCTGCCCCACACTTCCGTGATTCACTGCTCGCTACTTCTGTTAGTGATGAATGAGGAGAGAAGCTGCGCAAGAGAATATGTAATTTACCTGATAATTGTCTTTCTGTTGCGTAGCTTCTCTCCTCATTCAGCCCACTTGGATAATCTAGTACAGGGGTCGGCAACCTTTCGGAAGTGGTGTGTCGAGTCTTCATTTATTCACTTTAATTTAAGATTTCGCGTGCTAGTAATACATTTTAACATTTTTAGAAGATCTTTCTGTAAGTCTACAATATATAACTGAACTATTGTTGTTTGTAAAGTAAATAAGGTTTTTAAAATGTTTAAGAAACTTAATTTAAAAATGAAATAAAAATGCAGAGCCCCCCGGACCGGTGGCTAGGACCTGGGCAGTGTGAGCGCCACTGAAAATCAGCTCACATGCCGCCTTCGGCATGCGTGCCATAGGTTGCCTACCCCTGGTCTAGTAAATGACCAGACTACAAATGGAAATCTTTCTCTAAAGGAAAATGTAGACATATTCTGTAAAGGTTAATTAATGAATTATATCAGGTTGTCTTGATGCTAATAATCGGTTGCTAGAATGTTTCTTCAGCTTTGGAAGAATTTTTCTGGTGGCCTGGTTAATTCATTATATCAGGTTGTCTTGATGCTTAGATTAGATTATACCTGGTTTAGCATTTTGGCAAACTCTGGTTCCAGGTGCTTAGCCAGTGATTTAGACTTGATTGACTTTCTTTAAAACTTCAGCAGCAAATATTTACTGTTTAAATATTTTTTTAAAAATTAATTTAAATGGTTTTACTAAATTATAGTAAGTTTGGGCTTTAATATATGTTGTAATTTTAAATAGGTTTATTTTTTAAAAGAAAAATTGATTTAATTTAAACAAAAATCCAATTTAAGTAAAAAAAAAATTGTTTTAAATCACAAATTTTATCCACCCTGGTTGGGATAGCATTTACCCATTAGTGATTAACAAAGAGGGAAGCTGCTAACAGAAAATTACCAGATAAGAAATTTCTGATTTTCTTTGATTGCACTCTTCAATAAGAAAAATGCGTTACTTTTGTATATTTAAAAGGTGCTCCTTAAACCATTAGAGAAACAAACTATTTGATACACACACACACACTTAACAATAACTATAGAAGAGCTATGGCACTGTGTTATAATTTATATATATAATATAAAAAAATAAAATGTGTGTAGACCTACCATCTAAGTAATGGTCTGTTTTGGGTATATAAGTTTGTTTAGAAATGAATAAGTTCTAATTGAAATTGAGTTTATTCTTGTAAATAAAAAAAACAAGTCTAGCAAATTATGGAAAAGTTTATTTGCTTTTATATTACTTGTATGGAGATCATTCACCTCTTGGCGCAGAGGATGTGGATCACATTTAGTATTGCAAATCTAGCAGAAGTTTAATGGCACAACTTTTAAGTCTGAGAATAGTTCAGTTTTGTAGAAATTAATAAAATGGCCTAATATATATTACTTTTCTGTGGTAGGGCAAAAAGTATCAAACTTGTAAGCTTTTTTATCACTTGGTATTCTAAAACATAAATTTGTCAAACTTAACAAAATCATGCATATAAAGCAGAAATGTTAATGCTTTCTTCAAGTGTATTCTGTCCCATGTAGTTTTGTTACCTGAAAAGTTACCATGTACATTTTTCCGTTGTGCAGGGGAACGTCCATTTCAGTGTACACTGTGTGATAAAGCTTTTAACCAGAAGAGTGCCCTTCAGGTGCATATGAAAAAGCACACAGGAGAGAGGCCTTACAAATGTGATTACTGTGCAATGGGCTTTACACAGAAAAGCAATATGAAACTCCATATGAAACGAGCTCATGGCTATGCTGGTAGGTAACATGATACTTAGTAATGTTAAGCACACATTTTTTGAAGCAGGGATCAGTTAGTGGCTTCAGTATTCCCTTGGCTCTGTAGGTGGGGACAATCTAAAACATAGAATGCAGATGATATACAGTTGTGCACAACTGGTGTTATCCAGTTCTAGTGAAATGCTCCATTCCCTTTGACTGACTGACTTTTTTTTTTCCTTTTCAAAGACATGTTCTGCTTTATGAACCAAAATAATTCGTGCATCTTCTTCATTCCTTGTTTTTGTTGTATTTGCAGTAGTCTTCCATTATCTGTATTAGTCATTCCTTTCTTTCTCTGTTACATTACAATAGGTACTATACAAGAATCTGCCAGTCAGCAAGAACAAGAAGGGGAAGATATTAATCGTGCTTTGAATTTAGAAGAGGTTGTTCAAGAATCTTCAAATGAATGGCAGAGTATAACCAATGTTTTTCGATGACACCTTAGTTGAAAGCTTTGCTTTCAGGACTTGAATTTCTCAACATATGTTTTGAAAAAAGTAAAGCATATGGATTTTACAGTTGATGCTTCAAGCATTGAAAATATTAACAATAGAATAATATATTATAGTTTTTTTAATTATTTACAAAAAGTACTTAAGAATCATTGTTTTTGTAAGCTTGTGGGAAAATATTGAAAAAACATCAATTAATCTGTGTTAAATTGTCTACAAATCAATGAACTCAGGTAATACTACATGCGGTTTCATCTTCTAATCCACAGACAGTATATCTAGTTGAACAATTAACTGGAACTTCATATCAGGAAAGAGTGATTCCCTTGAATTAGTAAAGAAGATGAAAAGTAACTTCATGGGAAAACCATGAAAATTGTCATTTACTTTTTTATTTTATTTTTTTAATGTATAGCAAAAATGTTTGAGGTTAGAAAGAAAAGTGTTATGATAGAGATGCATGCAGTACAGAATTAATTTTTACAATGCACAGTAAAATGTTAAATTTCTGTTCTTAGTTTCTTTTGGTGCATTTGAGGAATTTTGGAAAGTGAATTGCCCTTGCATTAAATGGTATTTATGTAGCTAATCTCTTGAGAGGTGACCGGGCTATTTCCATTCCAGTTGTAGAGACAGTCATTAGTTTTTTCCATCAAAATGTCTGAGGCTTCAAACTCAGCAATAAACATTCAAAGAAAATCCAAACTAAAAGAAATTAAACTGATTGAACGCCCCTGTTTTTAGGTTTGCCGTAAGGATCAGCAGGCAGATACTTGAGTATTTGTGGAAAGCACAAGCCATATTCTAAAGTTGGGAGATAACCTAAAATTGTACATTTTAATAGCAAACTGGAAGTAAGCTGCAGTACAGGTCACCTCAGTTAACATAAAAGTAATCTGTACTGTAGACCTTTTTAGTTCCAAATCTGTAAAAGCATCATTATTTTCTCATGCATCAATTCTGAAAGCATTTTACTGTGGTGTTTGTTTTTTTGGTGTGTGTGTGTGTGTGTGTGTGTGTGGTTCTCCCCTCCCCCCCCAGTAAAACTACCTAGTTAACTTAAGGTACATCTACAGCTGTGGCAGTGTATAGAGTACAGACACAGCATCCCCAGCTAGCAGGGGTGTAAATAGCAGTGTAGATGGTGAGGCATGGCTTAGGGTGGTAGCGTAGAGTGCCCTACACAACTCAGCCCTGATGGTATATATCCAAGCATGGCCTCCCATGTCTATGTTACTAATTTCTGCAGTGTAGTGTCCCACTGCCTCTCCGCTGCCAGAGTCTTTTCGTTGCTGCCTGCACACAGCAGTATGTAGCTACTCACCTTAGTGACAAGTATGGATACCACCTGCCTTTCGCCATGGCGTGTAGCTACACGTGTAGTGCCTTTACTCTACTTGCCGCTGTAAGTGTAGACATAACCTTAGTACTGCTCTGAAAGGTGCCACTTGTTAAGTGTATTCATAACAAAGAAACACTGGAGTAAAGCTTAAGTCATGTTTTATACATTCCAAAGACAGAAAGCTCTTTGCTTACTTTTACTTTGTTCCTTTGAATTTATTTATATGTTATATATATATATGTATGTATGTATATATAAAAATATATGGGCCTCTATGTGGCTGATCAGTATATTTTGTAAATAGCAATCCCAACTGCAGGAAGATTTCATCAAGTTTTCAAGTTCATATGAGTACTTCTAGATCAGTATTGGATTCATTGTAATGTAAAATAGAGTTGGGTTTTATTTTACCTTTTGCAAAATAATCGCCTTTTATTTGCTCTCATATCCAAAAAACACTTTTTTCCCCTTTTGGTAAATATTATCTATACGTTGTCTGCTATAAGACCTAGTCATTTCAGATTCCTGAAGAAAGAAATCACTGTTGTTTTTGATAGGGAATCTCTTATTTCTTTTGTTAACTCTTTGCATATGTATATAAGTAATATAGTTGGTGACATAAAATTAACATTTTTGTTATGTGGAAATATTTAAGTCAGAAATGTTAATAATATTAATTTTTTCCAACTTTGCTTTGTGTAGTTTTTAAAAGACAAATTTTAAATGGGTATTCTTAGTTATTTCAAGGAAAATGTGGATGACTAAAATTATGCAGCTCAAAGTTGAACATAGAGGACTGAAGTTCTCCTTTCATTTCAGCAGTGCATCTCATTCCAGACAAGTTGTTTGGCCCTGCAAACCTGCCTTACACATATTGGTAACTTCTGGATAATGGCAACCTTTTGCTGGGAACCAAGAGGTTGCTAATAAGCAGAATTCACAATACACGGAAAGCAGATCTTTTCAATAAAGAGGTGCTATTTGAACTACATAGTCATTTTTCAGAGAGCAATGCTGCTTTAAGACTCTTGATCACATACCAATCACGTAATGAGTGGATATTTGTAAGATAGTAAGTAACAAGTAAATAGGGAGACTTGCCTTTTTTCCCCCTGAGTTCTCAACCCACCACAATAGCAAGAGTCCTGCCAATTATGGTAAATATCCTTTTTGAACATTTTAATAAGATACAGTATATATTTTAGAATCATGCCTTGAATGTCTTCTGCCTGACACAAAGGTGTTTAATGTCCTTCCTTTAAACATAGGAGCTGCTCCAGATTACTTGGATAAGTTTGAATTGGAAACATTCAAATGCATTATATCTGCTGATGCTCTGTAGTAGTGACGAGGTTGTGACTATTACATTGGTGTCCAGGGCAAGATCAGGTTGTTCAGGAACTTTCTTGCTAAAGTAAAGAAATGTAATGTGGACCATGCCCTAACAGCATCACACTGGAGAAAGGTAACATCAAAAATAAACTTTATGTGCCCTAGAAGCCCTGGTCCATCTTGCTGTGGCAATTGGGCTCTCTGAGTAAAAGCATCATACACCGTTGATAGCTGAGATGTAGTTATTAGCAATAAATCAATTTAATTTTGCCTTGGCTTACTATTTTCTCTCTTGTATTTTAAGTTTTTTTTTTTCTTCAACTGTTATGAACACCATTTTATGGTCATGCCTTAATTGGCTACTGCAGCCCATTTATGATATTTTGTATTTTATGCCCAACCTGGAAGAGACTTGTATGAGAGACACTGTGAATCTTTTATTGGAATACACAGTGGTAACCTCCAAAGAAGAAACTCTCAAATTCTCCTTAACATAAACAAGAAAAAATCACTAGGAAAAAAAATCATATCATGAATCCTGCAATTTTTGATTGTTTCTATCTTTTTAGATTGTAGATATAAGCCATCACAATGTAAATAGGTTGGCTTCTTGCAGAAAACTCTCTTCAGCCAAATAGTATCCAGCAGAGGAGAGAACTCATCCCTTCCCTAGTTTATCACCCTATGTGTTGTGAGCTTCAGTTCCTAATTGTGATTCAAATGCTGACTTCAACCCAAATCATACCACTTGGATTTGTGCATGGAGGGCTGCCTGTGGCTCTTTCCACTTCCACAGAGCAGAGGGGACTGAGCTGCCTCTCCAGAACCCTGCAGTGATTCTCATTTCATCTGAGGTTTATAGTGGAGAGGGTTGGAGACTGTAGAGGCTGTGGGGCTGAGTGGGCAGGCTGTGGTTGTGAAATTTTGCAGAAAATGTGGAATAGCCCAAGGATGTATTTTCCATGGCGCCTCCTGACCATGGTGGCATGGAAGAAGTTTGTGAAAGTAGATGTCAGAACAGCCAAGTGTGTGGGAAGGGAGTCCCTCTACTTTTTCTGTGGGGGTGGACAAATCAATCCAAAATCCTAATGGCTGTGCTCAGTGATTGTGAGTTCACAGAAACAGCACTTTTTTCGTAGGAGTGGCACATGAGGCAACCCATTTTTCCCACTGTTGTCCATCATAAATTGTCTCCATGATAGCAACATCCTTTTCAATTGTTCTGGGATAGGTCATACTTTCTCCACCATGCCTTCTTTTTTCCATCCAGTTGGAATGCAATCTAAGATGTAGCTTGTGCTTCTCCCATGGGGTAGCCTGATGACATGGGCAAACCACCAGAGCGTTTTCTAGCTGATTAAGTCCACAGTCTGCTGACCTGTGCAGTACAATGCTGCCACGTTGGTTATACAATTGCTCCAATGAATTCCCAAAATCCTTCTCAAACAACTCTGGTGAAATGCATTCAGCTTTCTATTGTGTACTTCTGCCACATTCTGCTGAGGCATACAGTAATGTTGGAAGGACAATACCATTGTACAATCTCACATCAAGGTGTAGTATTTTGCTACTCTTCCAGCTGTTTGGCAAATAAGTAATTGATCCACTGGCTTTGCCACTTCTTGCCCTCAATTCTTTAATGAGCTGACCATTAGCAGAAATACTTTACTTCCAAGATTTTTAAAACAGTCGTAAACCTTTTGTACTCTTTTCCATCACTCACATATCTGTCAGAGTTGACCATATTCTCTCCTATCTCCATATGCTTGGTCTCAAACTCCCATTTTGGTAGCTGCCACTTTTATACTCATAAAGAGTTTTTTTCGTTTCCTCAAAGCTGGTATCCAGTATGACTTTGTCATCTGAAAAAAAAACTAGATCCTGCAGCTCATCTCTTGTCCAAACAATGCCAGTGGCCTCAACATCAGCTGTTGCTTTTCTCATCTCAAAGTCTATGGCAATGCAGAAGAGAAGTGGGGATAGTGCTCAACTTCGCTTTACACCAGTAACAATCTTAAGCCATTTTTTGTTCTGACAGCATGCAGACTCATTCTACCAAGCTTTTATCCGATTAACAATCTCTGATGGAATTTTATAGTGTTTCAGGATCTTCCAGAGGGCTTGTCCGTGAACACTATCAAACACTTCTGTAAAATCAGTGAAGTTAAAAAGCGTCTTCTGCCAGTATTCTAACCCTTGCTCAATAAGTCTTCTCAAGGTGAAAATCTGATCTGAACGTGACCTATCAGATCAAAATCCAGCCTGCTTATCTCTGAGTTCTTTGTCAACAGCAGTTTTCATCCTATTCAAAATGATAATGCAAAACACTTTTCCAGGTACAGATTGGAGTGTCTCCTGTTATCACAAATAAATTAATCCACCTTTTTAGGGATTTCACAGAATACACCTCTTCTCCAGTCAGGATAGGTTTTCTTTTCCCAAACCATTCTGTACAACCTGGATATGTAACTCAACATCATTTCTTTTTGAGCTTTTAGCATGTTTCTTACCACAGCTTGGTGTTTTACCACTCCTTAGTTGGTTTATGGCCTTAGTTACTTCCTCAAAAGCAACTGCTTTTAGTGATACTGGTAAGTCCACTGTTTCTTCACATCTCTGTGTGTATTAGTGGTTGTGGCTGGTTGAGCGCAGCCTAGAAATGTTCCATCCTCTGTGGCTAAAATTGTATCTCTCATTAGGATATTAGAAAAAGTTTTTTGGAAACCCCTTGCTAACATGCCTTCTCAGCTTCTCTTGCTTTGTTTTCTGTCCCTTCTCTCTTATTTCTTCTGGCTGATCTTCTGACTGACTTGTCTTTGTCCCCATGTTCTTGCTGTAGAATAGCTATTTTAGTTCCATCTCATTCTTGTTGAATTCTCTTGTTTAATATTTCCATTCTTCTTTCTTAGATCTTCTGACCCTCACTGTAGTCCAGGCTGCTTTCACACTTCATTGAAAAAACTGCCATTGTTCTCCTCCGCTTCTCGGTGGCTAGAACTCTTGGATGATGCAGCGTCTTTCTTGGGACTTGAGGAAGACTTTCTGGCATGCTTATGCACATGCTTCCTTGCCTCATGGCTAGACCCCGGCATGGGGTCCATAACACTGGTACTGGTGGAACTGGACTGGAGCTCTGCAGTAGGAGGTGCACTCCTCGATTTGCTCAGCCCGATGTATGGCGGGGGGGCAAGAGATGTCCCCAGCCTGGATATAACAGCGGACCATGTGGCGATGCTGCTTAAGGTGAGAGAACTCAGCCTTCCCAGGTACGGGCGGGAAAGGAGAGGCAGATACTGCACTTGGACACAAGTTGGGCTCCCCCCAAGCAGTATAGGCAGTGCTGGTGGTCATCACTGATCAAAAATGAGCAAGGGCAGGAAGCGCAAATCTTGAACCCCGTTGTCTTCGTCCTAATCCCGTACCCAGGCCTGAGTGCTTGGTGGGGAGGTCTGATGGGAAACCACCGAAGCAATGTTCCCAAGCTCCTTAAATCCTAGGGAAAACTGCTTCTAACAGTAAAAACTACTACCAAAAAAATGAAATGCTAACTATGTACAAGAACAGGGTTTTTTTAATGCAAAGTTTGTGAAGTGCGTCACAAGGGATGAGAGAACAGCAGAAGCTTTGACTTGGACCATGCAGTGGAGAGAAGCAACTGAGAGCACAGTCAGTCCACCCCGCCATTAATCACCTTGGTCGATATCATGAGGCAAAACAAGGGGGCATGTGCGGCTCACCGGACACTACTACTTTTAAAAAGCTCTGGCTCTGGCTCAGTGTGTGCGCATAACCCTCAGTGGAATACAATAGGGACCATCACTTGAAGAAGAACTATTAGTTTTTGAGTATCATGCTGTCTGCCTTATGTGGTAGTGCCTTCTTTAGTTTTATTTTGATTCTCCCAATAACAAGATGATTGTCACTTCCAATATCATTACCCGTATACACCCTGGTGTTCAACAGTGATCTTCTGCAGTGCCTATTAATGGCAATGTGATCAAGCTCTTTCTGGGTGAAGCCATCATTTGATCTTCTTGTCAACTGAGGGAGAATCAAAACCCCAAGGAGGTTCTGAAATGGGATATCTTCACAGCTAAGGTTAAGACGAGAATTGGGAGTTGGCATGTTAGTCTACCGTGTTGCAAAGTAAGCTATTTCAGAGAAATGAAAATCTTTGGCTTAAGTCTAGCTGGACTGAAATGAGATGAGATGGACTAGACAAGGTAAACTACCATTGGAAGGTGTGACTTTATTTTTTATTCTGGAAGAGAGGATGGCAAACAGCAGGAAGACATAGGCTTATTATTGAGTAAGGAAGCTACTAAAGCACCGAAGAAGTGGGAACCTGTAACCTCAGACATATTGACTACTTGCTTTGTGATAGTTCAGTGTTATATGCAAGAAATTATAGTGGTGAACAAGTCAAACATGGTTTCTGTGAAAGATTGCAGAGTGGCCTTGGCAAGATCAATAAATATAACAGTTATTCTTATGGGAGATCTAAATGCACCAATTGGGGATGATAATACTACGTATGAGCATGTTATGGTCAGATATGGTATCCCACGACAGTACCAACAATGGGGAAAGTTTTGTTGAACACTGCTACCTATAATATCTTTGTATTTTGGAAACAATATTGCCACACAAGGAAAGAGACACAAATTGCCAAAATATAATGACCTAATTTTCAAAAGTTCTGAACACCTGCAGCTCCAATTGACTTTAGGGAGATTTGCAGGCACGGAACACTTTTTGAAAATCAGGCCATGAAGAAGCAGGAGATCATGCCAACACTGAAATAATGAAACAGATTAAATGAAATAAATTGAGAGGAGAGACAGAATAGTCAGTTTACGGATCTTGATGTACCACCGTTGTGCAGTCTTTGCTTTTTTTAAGAAAACTTTGGCGGACATTTTAGGTCAAGCAACTTCTATAGCATTGCATTAGTTTCTCTGAATTTAGTTCTGACTTTGAGAATTGTCAGATAGACTCATCATTGCTGATCCCCTCACAGAGCATCATTCATCTAAAAGTTATTTAGATAGATATAAGGAGAGCAAAAGAATTTCCATCACAAGAAATGTTTGGCAATTTCCAGATAGTGATTCTTGGAGTGTCATGGAACTGAGCATCCTCCCTCTCTCACTACCCGCTGCTCTTTGGTAGTCTTGTCTCATGCATACAGTTAATCCATGGGCTAGACTTCATGTGACAGTGCTTCATAGATTCCTTTTATAGGCCTGGAACCATTTTCAACAGGAGATGCAAAGGAAAGTGAAAATAGTATCCAGAGTAATTTAATTCATCTGGCTGAGGGACTAAAACCCAGATCACTTGAAGCATGTTAGATGCAAATAAACAGACTTCCCAAAGAGTCAGAACTCCTTCAGCATGCTCTATCAGAACTGCCTGGGCAGAAGAGGTGCTTTCTACCACAAAGGAAATCTTACAGAATTGTTGCCCATTAAGAACTTATGAAGTACTGCAAGCTTGACTTTCACCCTGCTCAGGCCTGCCAACAGTAATTCTGGGCACCAGAGCCGTCCTTAGCGGGGGTAGAAGTGAGAAATCTGTCACTTCTGGGACCAACCCCATGCTGGCCCACGAGGCCCGGTCCCAGAGCGGTCGCGCGCTCCTAGGAGCCCTGTGGCCTGCCCAGGTGATTTAAAAGGGCCCGAGACTCGTAGTTGCTGCTACTGCAGCAGTGGTGGCAGCCAAGGGCCCCTTTAAATTGCCTGGGCCCTTGGGCAATTGCCCCCTTTGCCTCCTCGTCAGCAGGCCTGACTCTGCTGCAGAAGCATCCTTTGGCCGAAAGGGGCCCCAAGCAGTAATATAATGTACCTATGCTACTCATATTAGGGAAAGCAGAAATCATTTATCCTGCTTTCCTACTATTTTTTCCCTTTTTGCTCACTATAATTATCTCAGGGTAAGTCTACATGAGTGTGATACATCAGCACAGCTGCAGCATGTCGGGTGAAGACACGCTACGCTGACAAGAGAGCGCTCTCCCATTGGCATAATTACTCCACCTCTGTGTCAGTGGGAGAGCATCTGCTGCCAACATAGCACAGTGTGGACACTATGTAAGTCAATGTACCTTATGTTGCCTAGGGGTGTGTGTCTCTTTCATACCCCTGAGCAACATAAGTTGCATTGACTTAAGCAGTAGTGTAGGCCAGTCCTTAGACTGAGGAAGAAGTCAGGATGCAGAAGGGAAAATTGGTTGTCTAGTGAATTCCTTTCTGGGACCTCTTCCCAGTCTGCCCTACCTGAGATGTATTCTCTGATGACCAGTATAGTGGCCTTTTAAGAGTCTGTGTGTATAGTTAACACAGTTAAGAAAGATAGAATTGGGTTGTACTCAAGGTTTAATTTAATAAATTGTTTATAAAGAATAGTAAATTATTGATACATGTTATAAGCATGCTACAGACATCAGATGCATTGTATATGTTAAAAAAAATTGGTAGAAGATATTAGATGGTTATAAGCAACCTCTTGAACTCTAAAATAATCCATAACAATTAATTAAATATGTATCAAAACATCTATTAACTATCAACTCTTTATAAACAGAACTTTAATAATAATGGTCACACTTTGTAGTCAAGAAGCTTATATTTAGCTAATAAGAATTCAGTTTTTTCATACAGCTTTGGAAATACTCTAGCATGAGGGCAGAAAAAATAACATGCCTAAGCCCCAGTGTCTTGTGGACAAGTCTGAACTGCTTCTGGTATTTGCAGGAAGAGAGAAACAGCCTAAATGCATTAGACTGGGGGAGAGGTGAGTCCCACATTGGAAATCATCAGGTAACAATTTTTCCATAACCTTTATTACGTCAGGAAATGTTTAATTCACTATTAACTTGAATCTCATCGTTTGTCATTAATGATATCTAATGATATTCTATGACACACAACAGTCTCTACCATCTTGTCTAATACACCACTATCTCGATATAACGCCACCCGATATAACACGAATTCGGATATAGCGTGGTAAATCAGTGCTCTGGGGAGGTGGGGCTGCGCACTCCAGTGGATCAAAGCGAGTTCAATATAACACGGTAAGATTTTTTGGCTCCCGAGGACAGCGTTATATCGAGGTAGAGGTGTACATAGAATGTAGTGCTCCAGTCAGCTAAAATACAGAATACTTCTGTCATTAAAAAACAGTTGCCCATAGTGAGCTTTGGGATGGTATAAATTGCACATGGCTATGGGTCTATATAGCAGAATTGGCCTGTGGGACTGCAGAGCCCATGATTGCAGCATCTCCTGTTATCCCCCCAGATGTGCAGGACCTAGAAATTAGAGAATGATCTCAGCACTTCCATTTTTTTTAAAGTAAATTTCTCGCCCAATTCTTTATTTAAAAAAAAAAAGCCTGGGAAATGTTAACTGATAACAAGGGTTTAAATCCTCTCCCCAATTTTTCCTAATGATCAGATTATTTATGATATGCCGCCACCTACAGCTTCCTGTGGTTATTTTTTGAAGTCTGGGAAAATCATGACCATGTTTCCCTTGATTTTAGGGAAAGACCCATGTTCAGTTTATAGCTTCATGGACAGCACTTCCAACACTGTCATTAGAGGCCCAAGGCTACCACAGTCCAGCCAGCCAGCTCCATGTAGCTAAGGTGATTCCTCTGCTGAGCAGCCTCTGTGACCTCTGCCCACAAAACAAGGGCAACTTAATAGTACCAGATGCTGCATTGTATTTGAGAACATGTTTTCTAATCCCAGCTCAAACATGGACTCCTTGGTGGCCTTGACCTAAGACAGTATAATTTGGCATCTCCATAAAAGCCACTGAAGTAGAATTCAATTTTAGAAGGATTATACATGAAAGTGAGCAATATTAAAGAATATTAAGTAATACCCTCTCTAATAATTCATTGACAGAAAGGGATAACTCAGAGAGCAGTTGCAAGTAAAGACTAGGTCAAGAGGCTGACCATAGCAGTGATTTATAGAACTGATCCAGACCTGACAGAGTCTGAGAGAGAAGGTGAAAAGCAGTGTAGTCAGAGGGTTTAACAAGGAAACTGAAGTAGATGAGGATGAATGCGGGAATGAGATGAGAGGAAGCAGGTGGCATGTACTTAAGACAAGAGGTGGAGATTATGAGGCCAACACTGGGAGGGAAGATTGAGGAAAAGACAGATCACCACAGTTCACGGGTGTTTGATCTGGAGATTCAGGCCTCTTGTGAGTGATGTAATAGACTGTCTCACAAGCCATATTTTTGTCTGCATTTTCCTGGAATTTGAGAGCAGGATTTTCAGAAGGAAGGGGAAAGCAGGTCCTAGCTGTAGCCTGAAGAGCCAGGTTGTGCATTTTAGTTGCCGGGGAGGTTTCCCAAAGAAGTGGAAGGGTAGGAATCCTCCCTTCCATTTTCAGATCATGATGCAGTAGTAGAGCTGCTTGATGGCCACCAGTGTAGCCTCAGAACTGTAGTATTTCTTTTGGCTTATACCTTCTCCCTCCATGTGTGGAATGAAGGGTGGACACATGCCTACTTTCAGATCCTGGTCTCTTCCATCCCACTAAAACTCCCTTGCTTGGAAGTAGTGTAGATGCCCAGTCTCTTGTGATGCGTAGAGTAGAGGAAGTGGATTTCAGTCTCAAGCTTACACAGAACCATTATATATAATAGTGAGGTAAACTATAATTTTTAAATGTATGAAAAAGATCTTGATGGTCCCTTTTTTAGAGAAGGCAAAACTAGAAGTATACCAGCCTTTGAAAACATTTTTTTTTGCAGGGGAGGTCTTGTTAAACAGCATGAAGCAACATTTTGGAAAAAAGTATTTACCTTCAGAAATCACCTTAAACACCTTTTCATTAAATATATTTGAAGGCTGTCTTTAAAAATCAATGTAGTTTTCACATAATTCATGCAGAGATTGTATGTTTTTAAATTTAATTTTTATTATAGTTTTTACCTGTTACCAAAAGTGTTATTTTACAGAAAGACACACACATGCATACAGTATTCTATAAAGCTTAAAAAACCAAACTGGTCCAAATGTCATTACAAGTTGATTATTTTATTTCAATAATGAATGTTTTTAAAAGCTGTATTCCTACACTTTTGTGAACAGTACACCTTTAAATTAAATTTACTATTATGTTGTGGAGTATACATCTGAGTGAACCTACATATAGAAAAATACACATAGCCAATGACTGCACCACAGCTTAAGGGGGGAGATGGGTGTGGTTCAGCTTGCCAGGGGAAGGGGTATATTACTTTTAGAGTGTGGGTGGGGGAGAGAGGCACAGATACTGCTGCAAAAGCAGAGTGTTGCAATGCTGACTCATCCCTCAGGGACCGGAAGGGCTGGGGAGTTGATAAAGGGTAAGCCCAGCAGAAGACCCTTTTCCCTGGACCAGATGGAGGAGCACCCAGCCTCACAACCTTGGAAGTGGCAAAAAAGCAGGTTTGGTTGGGATCACAGTGGGCACTGCACTAGCCGCTCCTTTCTTGGAAGGCTGGGAAGGAATTTTCCCCTCACCACCAGATTAGCCAAACTGGAGTGGGAGATTTTTGCATCCCCCACAACATGTTCCGGAGGGCAGTGGCCGTTGGCGGGGAGGGGTTGTTATGATGAGTAGGGAAGGAAGTTAGGCTATGATGTTAGGCAACTCATTATGTAAGTATGGGGCAGATGTCCAGTGCAGGTACTCCACAGGGAAGGGATACAGTGAACATATAAATGGCTTGATAAACAACTTAAAGGAGGTGTTTGTTAAAGGAGTGAAATGGGCTGAGGGGCGGAGGGGGGGTGGCATGCCTATGACTGGGACAGCAGGGAGCCACCCCCTCCTTTCTCTATAGCCCACCTTAACCCTCATTTGAGAATTGGATGATGGTAAGGTCCCAGCAATGGACTGGCTGGGGACCAGGATAGAAAAAAAGGGGTCGGGGGCTGGCAGAAGTCCCCAGGAAAATATTGAAATGATCATGGGTGTTACCTGCACTGTACACTTTTATCTGTCGGGTAGTCCCAGACATCTATTAAAATTGCAGCCTGGTTAAACCATATTCACTGTCTCCTGTCCTTCCAGTATAGCCAGACAACAATATAGCATAAGAAAGATGTAATAGGTGTGTGTTTAACAATTTTGCTGTTTTACTGTTTCTTTCATTTCTATGTTTTCCTACCCTCTCATCTTTCACCACTGCATATTAATGGACAGTGCTTTAAATCTACAGTAGATGTAGAGACAAAATAGAATTAACAACACATGGTACATGTCAGTTGACATTAACATTGGCTACTCCTGATAGTTAGTAGCATGGCTGAAACTGAGTGCCAACTTAGCATTAAATATAGTCTACAACGTATATGCTAAAATAAAAAACACTGAATCAGTTAAGGAGGGTAATCTCACAAAATATTAAAAGTTTGTTATAAAATAGTGCAATTCAGAAGAGCTTTTTTCCTACATATGGTTGGAAATACCATTGCCACATGTATACATTTTAGTAGATTTGTGAACAATCAATGTTAAACGCTAACTAATGATTTAGATTTAATTTCTATAAGGCAACTACAATGCAACAGTTAAATGTTCACAGTAGTTTACTACTAGTTTGCTTTGGTGCACTGCCATTAAAGCCATCTATTTCGTCATAAGACAAGCTTACCAAGTTTAACACTGCTGCAGTAACAAGAAAACTACTAATAATTCTAACTTGAGATGTGCAGGACTATCTGAAGTCTCAATGCTGAAGGGCTTTATTTCTTTCACAAATTAGACTATTTTTGTTTTATTCTTTAACTGCTAAAGAAATGCTGTTGTAGCAGTGTCTGCGTGGAGCAACAGTGACATGCAGTGGTCACGTGCAATCTTAGATGTTTCTTCTCTGGGAATGTTCCTTGTTTTTTGTTGTAAGACATTAGTCTAACCCAAGTTTGAAATCCTCTCTCTCTCTCTCTCAGCCACACTTAATTCTAATGGTTTGGGTGTGATGAGCAATTTGTAAAAATAAGGAATTTCCTTATTACTATTGCTTTGCGTCTCATTGATACTGTAACAGCTGCCCTCTCCCACATTTCACGTACCTTGAACTCCCAAAGTTTATTAAACCTTTCCATGACTGCCTAATCCTGTTATGAAAAGTAAAATATTCTGAGAGAAGTGACATTAAACAAAAATAAACCCAAACAAAAAAGTGTTCGGATAAACAGTCCTTACAACTTCTGCACGTGTTTTTTACAGCAGTGTTTAAGAAATCCTTTAATGGCAGTGCTCAAAAACCAAGACAGTTGCTCTGCATTTGCAATTGTGGTATTCAATGAAAAAAAAATCAGAAGACTTGTGGGGCTTGGAGAAAAAATAAATAAAATCTAACATGCAGTTTGGACATCCTGAAGAATGAATAAAGTCGGGGATCTTGTTATTTTACCTAAAAAATGAAGATAGCAAATAAAGCTACTTTGTGTGTTTCATTCATTCAACTGTTGGTCAGGGATTGCCAATAGAAGTTTATATAATCCTACTGCATGCACAACTCAAATGACATTAAGTAACAGATTGTTTCTATCTATGTAATTCTTGCAATTATTATTAAAATTTTAGGCAGTTATCTTATGAAGCAGAGTACATGGTCCTTGAATGACGTCTTAGAACTTCAGCGTCTAGCAACTGGAGAACCAGACCGTGATCCAGGTCGGGAACCAGATCCTCCCTGTGGAAAGAAGAATAAAATCAATTTGATTAGACAGGTATGGTACTGTTGGGTGTGTGTGTGTGTGTGTGTATGCGCGTGTGCACACACTCTAAAAAACTAGGTTCCAGTACTATAAACTGGTAATACAATTGAGAGTCCATTGCTTCTAGTGACTATCTTTGGATAAGCCTGTGTATTATATCACTAAATTAATTGAATGCTTGAAATTTCAGTTTTGTTTCAAAGGGATGATCACTTTTGATAATTGAATTTTCAAGTAGGATGAGTTTGTTCTAATTAAGCACCTCCATCGCTAGCAATTTTGTAATAACTATTTGTTTCCAATGAGTGGAGTCTTAATGAAGTCGTTATGAAGCCAGGGAAATTGAGATTGCTGGTAAAGACAGTGACAAAAAGAAATTTGACCTGGAGCTATCCCTGCATTTTGCAGGTGCATGCTCTTTGGAAAAGTTATAACATAGGCTATTCACAGGGTATATGCCCAATAGCTGAGCACGCTGGAGTATAAGGATTTGCATCCACAAAATCCACATTAACACTTGCAATTGCACAATTGTGAGTCTTTTTAAAGGACAAGCTCAAGTGGTAGCACCTGTAAAGTATAGGTACAAGTTTGTGGAAGGATGAGGTTGAAGGTTGAATATCTGGCCCATTTTGCATATAATTAGAAAACAACAAAAAATTAACAGGAAAGGGAATAACAAAATCTTAACTGTGTCTTCAGTTCTTATGCAAGTGATGACACAAGTGTGTGTGTGTGGGTGGGGGGTGGGGGGGGAGGACATTGGGGCCAATATGAAAATCAGACTCAAACAGTGAATTCTTCTTTTGGCTTTCCCTAGACATGTATAGAACCTCATTACTTTTCTTAAAGCTCCTTCCAAGTCAAAAACGATCGTGTACCACTGAGGGATTAAAACTTCTCTTCATAGTGCCACACATCTATGTACTGTCTCGCACTAAAGCAGACATACATATGTATCTCTTTATTGGCTTATGTAGGCTTATATCAATTTTGACTGCTGGTGAAAGTGCTGCTGTGTCTGTTCTTGGAGGATATGCTAGAGATGGAAATGATTCATTCTTCTACTTTCCATCTTGAAAGTAGCCTCACTGCTGATCGCATTATTTACTGAGAACACAACACTAATAGTGGGAAATCACTGTGTCTGGCCTTAGAGAAACAAAAATGAAGACTTCATATTATTTTTTGTTTAGATATGGATGTAATAATCAGTTGATTTTCATTTCTTTTTTCCCCCTGCCCTTCTTTGGAAACTATTTGGCCATACACTGCCTTTTTATTTTTATTCTAAATGTTAGGGACCCAGAGACAGTTCATCTTGGGGCACATTACAAATACATTTTTACTATTGTTATAGAGAAGAAAATCTTGGACCAAATTCTGCTCTTAGATATTCTGATGTAAATCCAAAATAACTTCATTGATATTTAAGAAAGTACTCCCACACTTACACTAATGCGAGCAGGATTTGGTCCCCTGACTGTAGATTAGCATGATCAATCAAATCAGAAATCAGTACATTTCTATTGTACTTCAGTTGTAAATGTGGTATATAAAACAATGTCAAGCACAAATTGGTTTCATACAAACATAGTATCTGCTCAATTTTATTTGTAACTCAAGACAAGTTTTACTCAAGAATATTTGAATGTGACTGATATTAAATAGATTGATCTAGAGAGGCATTTATGCTTTTTTTGTAGGCTCAATTTTTCAGTTTTTGTAAATTTACTTGTACTTTACCAGTTTAAAGATTTTGGAAAGAGTGCCCTGGCCATCATGGTATGATCCCTTATGTCCCTTATAAGCAGATTTATGCTCGTAGAATTTGCCACTTCCTCCATACCCTGGCTTGTGTCCTTCACCTCCCTAGAAGAAAGATCATAGATATCTCAGGTATGTGGTTCACACCAGTTACCTTCATTTGTGACTGCTGGAATGTAATGCTTTCAAATTAGTCAAGTAGTTGAAAGTGTGGGAGGAAAAAAATTCTAAATAGTGAACAACGTGCAAATCTGAGTCCCAAACTTTGGTCTGTAACAGAGAAATCAATAATCAGAACAGGATAGTTGTACTGTCAAATGCATAATGTGAATGGAAAATGAAAAAAGAAGAATAGTAACTGCAACTGTGAGTCTTGAAAAAGAAACCTATTGACTTAAAAATGTTTTATCCCTTTTAGAAAATTATACTGAATAGCACAAAAGGGTAGAAAGAACAAAAATCTCTTGATCAACATGGAGATTTTACATGCAGCTGAATTTCTCCTAAAAGTATACATTACATTTTCAAGAGCTTTTCAAACACTTACACTTAAGTACTAAGATCACTGGTGGAAAAAAGGTTGCTTGTGAAAGTCATTTTGTTTTATTACAAAGTAACTGCTTGAGGAGGAAGAGGAGTACTAGAGCAGAGGTTCTCAAACATTGTACCTTTACGCAACTAGGGATAGACACCTCCCACCAACCTTTTGTTGAAAACATTTTTAACAAGTTGTGATTTTGGTTGTCTATTTCAAACACAGACAGGGTCAGCATACTAAATTTACTTTTTTGCTGAGTAATTTCCACTTTAGGCTCTGCAGAAATAGAACTGTAAGATTGGATTTTTTTAATTACTATTTTAATGAATTTAATGCTTATTAAAGTTACCAGATTGAAAGTCTCGGCACTAGATCCCCCCAGGTGCAAGCTACAGTGTAATTGATAGAATCATAGAATATCAGGGTTGGAAGGGACCTCAAGAGGTCATCTAGTCCAACCCCCTGCTCAAAGCAGGACCAATTCAGTGTCCATGCCTAATCACTCAGTGGCCTGTTTTTGGAGACTATCAATACTGTGCTGCTGCCAAATGTGATGAGAAAATGTATCCATTAAGAGACCATCAAATCAGTTCACAAGGTAATCACACAGCTGCCAAATGGAAAGATTTTCGGAGTCAACCTGGAATCAAACGAGTAGCACAGCAGTAAAAAAAGTCCTAATTTGTTATCCTGTCTTCTGAACTACCCAATTGCTCTTCAACAAACAGGTCTGCTTTTGCTGACTCCACAGTAATAATTCCTATAAGAAATGGAAAAAAGAATACCCTCTTCCCTCTTTTCAGTGTACATCTTCTGAAAGAGGTTGAAGCCTCCCCAAGGGGGGCCAACCTTATAATTTGAGAAAAACTGTTCTGGAGCAAAGGAAGTAGCAAGTTCTGTTTAAAAGATAGTTGAAAGGCAAGAGACAGATAATCAGAGGACAGTGAGAGTGTGTTGGCAATTTTGCATCCCTAATTCATTCACAAAGCACAAGTGAAGTTGATGTGGAATCCTGCTTCCTTGATTTTTCTCTCTGTTCTAAGAGCCAAATTTGTATTTGATCCATTGAGATAGCCTTTTGTTGTTAAACAATAAAGTAGAATAAATACATTCTCAGATCTGTTCAGATACAATATTACAGCTATCGATCATGTTAATAAAGAAGGTAGAAATGACTATCTCAACTTATTTGTGTATAAGATATACTGCCAAGATGACCTAGTTTTAAATTGTTATAAACCTGGCAGGGAACAACCTTCGTTTCTAAATCTTTTAACTTTTATTAAATCCCATATTCTATAGCAGCAGTTTCCCAGAAGTCTTTGGGCTTGATCATGCTTGCATTGAAGTTAGTGGCAAAATGCCACTCCATCTCAATAAATTGGGCCTGCTCTGGATTCAATTCTGCAATCATTTAACACTCTCAGCTCCCAATTGCTTCACTGTGTGAACCTGATGATGCAGCCCTTCAGAACTTGCATTGGCTTCAATGGGAGTCATGCAAACAGAGCCACTGCCAAATCTAGATTTAATGTTTGAGAGAGAATGCCATACCCAACAGCTGGGAAGTCCACGGCTGTGTTGCCAAAGGTATTAATGTTTCTGCTGACCCCACCAGTCCTATCACAGTGGGCCCAATTCTGTGTGGTGAATAACATCACCAACACTTGAGTTAAATAGGACCTTCTTGTGAAAGGACTGAGCACACTTTCACCTGATGCTCAGCCTCTTTCAAGATTTTGTTTCTACTACAAGAACAGAAGCAATAAAATAAAAAATAAAAAACTGTATAAATTGTTTGTCAAACGGAGGGCAAAGTAATTAGCAAAAGAACTGTTTTTTTCCCCCGATCTTTTAATAGGCTGTTACAAATATTGAGCCTGATGTTGCCAAGTGTTGAATGCCTTTCACTCCCATTCACCTTCTTACATTGTAGGTGGAAATTGAGGATTGGGCTTTTCGAAACCAAAACTTAGTCCTTCAAAATTCCCATATATTACTGACTTCAAGGGGAGTGTTATTTGAGTATTAGCTCCAGGATTTAAGCCTAATGGAGAATTTCAAAAATAAATAAGAAAAACCTTAGAGAAAATTCTTGACAGTGTGATTTTAAGAATTCACACATTAAAATCTTCGGCCATCCCATTGGTTAAATGATTTCTCCCATGTCATCAGCACAAAGAACACAAAACCTCTGATTTTGACACAATAACTTTTGTGTTCTAGAAAATAACTATACTGATAGAAACCGTTTGCATTTTAGAAGCTTTAATATACCATTTAAGACACTATAGTAATCTGCCTATGTGTGTAATGAAAGCTGTAGTAAAGCAGAAAATAGGATTTAGTTAGCTGTGAGATAACTGTGCTTCTCTGCTACTCAACACTGTCCATGTTTTAAAACATAACTGTAGAAAGAGCCTATATAATAAGCAGTAATATTGATCTCTTCTTTTTAAAAGGGACTGCAAAAACATGACAGAAATATACATACCAGAGACAATATTAGCATATAGAAAAATCAGGCTTATGTAAAAAGTTCCCCAGCTCTTTCAACCCTATCCCCAATTCTTCCCCTCCCCGCAAAAAGAAAAGACAAAGCAGTTAAGTCTTCCAGGAGCCTTAAAGGAAAAGAGGTAGTTTTGCCATGCAGCAGACGTGCTCCATTTGTGCTAAAGCAAAAGAGATTATATCACTGTAAGGTTGACAAGCTTCTGCATAAGAGCAAGCAACAAAATTACAACCATAAACAAACTGCTGTGTAGGAGGGGGAAAGTGGATCAAAAGGAATAAAGCAAAACAAACACCAAAATCAAGACCGAAACATGAATGTCAAGTTGCTGCAGCAGCTTGAAAGGCAATGGTGAAAGATAGACTTTGGCCTTGGTAGACCAAAATGGCTGTGAATGAAAGCACATTCATCACCTACCCAGCTAAATCTGGCGAGGGATAATCCTCTCCCCTGCATATGTAAGAAACAGAAACAGTGATATGATGATCACCATGAAACAAAGGATGTTCAAGATACGTGAGAGAGAAAAGGAAAAAGAGAAACAGCGAACAGAGCTGGTCAAATAATAGACGCATACATTTGTGAACAGTCATTCTATTAAATTAAAACCAACATTCACAATTTATATTATTTGATCTATAAAATTAATTAAATAACACACAAAGTTTCTTAAATGATTATTTGAATGGAAAAAAGAAAAAATTCACAATTAGAATTATTTGCAAAAATTGTTTGACCAGCTTTGGGGTTTAACAACTCAATTTACTTACAGTTAACCACATGGATCCTTCTTGTAATTTCACCAGCTACTTATAGACACTCTCAGGGTTTGGCTGAAGAATATGTTTTAAAATATTATGAATAATATTTTACATTTAATTATCAGCTTTCATGAAAGAATCTCATCATGCTTTAGATCAATGGGCAAGCAGTATTATTGCCATTTTACAGATGGCCAACCTGTGGTCACGCAGCAAGTCAGTGTTAAAATCGGGAATAGAGCCCAGGTCTCCTGACTCCTACTTCCCTGTTCTAAACACTGGGTAAACTAAAATGGCCAGATGAACAGGTACATATTTAAACACAATAATTAGATGGGATCTTGGGGAATACACTTACCTTTGCCTGCTCTGGGGGTGGTGTCCTAGGTGACACCTACAGAGCAATAGAAAAAAAATTATAAAACAACAGCAGCAATAGATCCAGTACAACCATCAAAGGTTTGCTCTTCATACTATAATTTGGATAATGTCTGATTTCATCTCCCTTCACATTGTTGTAAGAATACCTTTCAGCTTTCTCAATAGAATATACGGTGGACATATTTTTAAAAGTTAATTCCAGTTTTAGGGGCATTTCCCATCATAAAAAATGAAAAATATATTTAGATCCAATAATATGTTTAGAACTGGAATGAACTTTTTGAGTGCATGCACTATATGTTCCTCATTTTAGGTACGAATTTGTCTCCATCCTGCAACACATTGGTGGTACATGACTAAAAATATTAACATCAGGAATGTTGATCTGGTGAAGCTGATATTAATAGAAATAGTATTAATCCAAATCCATTTGCCTATGCTGTTTAAGGTTTCTTGCACTATTATCTTTCTCATGTCTGTCTTTTGGGTCTTTGTCCCACATTTGGGCCTCAGCAGCTGGAAAGGTCTGCTTCAAAGAGGATGAAGAAGGGAAAAGGGATTATCTATGGTGCCAGTGATCATTTCACGGCTGTGATACATTTGAGGCAACTTCTCTCTAGTGGGAAGCATTCTGAAGTGCTTTCAAGAATTATTAGGCTCAGGCAGCAAAGTTTTTGATGATATCTTTGCACAGTACTCAGGGATACCATTTCGTAGAATGTTTGAGGGAGATACAGCTCTATAGTTGTTTCTCTGATTTTGTGTGTGGGTTTTTTTTTTCATATTAGTATGACGATATCCAGGTTCAAAGCTGAAGAAAATCCTTCTCCTCAAATAACATCACTCAGATAGGGAATCAAATCTGGGCCTTTTTTGTTTAGGCCTTGAAAAGAAATGCCTGAGTCTAGCTTCTCTCTTAAAATAGAATTCATTTATTAAATCTAGTAAGTGCTATTTTAAATGGACTATGCCTTGAGCACCACTGACCTTTTTTAAACAACAAAAGTTTGAATGTGCCTTATTTCAAGAAAGGCAAATAAAAAATGTGCAAACGGTAAAGTTGTTTAATAGCATCAGTGATTAATATTGGAATTTCAGCACATTAATGGAAGAATCACCCACTTCCATCCAATAAATTTTTGCTACACAAAACTAGAAGTTGTAATATCAAAGTAAAATAATTCTGATATCAAAATATAATTATTCCCTCAAAGGCACAGACAGAACATTTTATCTACAGTCTCAATTGCAACAAAATGGATAATCTTCAGGTACTGTTTAGCTGCCATTGAATCTCAAATTACATTTAACTCTGCCAGAGAACATGAAGGGAAGGGGAAACTTACGATGTTCTTGAAGAAATGGACTACTGGGTTGTCGTCACCAGGCCGCCCGTGCTGAGACCTTTGGGGCATGGAACCTACATGGCTAGCTCTGGCTGCATGTATGTCCTGAAATGCAGGGTGGATATATTAGTAAGTGCACTGAGAAGACCAAGATAAATGATGACCATCTGAAGAAAAAATGCTCCAAGAGGCATGCTCTCAGTATAAAACTAAAAGAAAAGGGGGAAAAAACTGACAATAAAACACATAAGAAATCTACAGAGTTTATGATCCAATGTCTTTAGTGCTATAAAAGCCCATGCACTCTTTATAGAACAGCACAGTTAAGTAATACATATGCATCTTGTGTCCATATCTCTGTGTGTGTGTGTGTGTGTGTGTGTGTGTGTGTGTGTGTGTGTGTATATATATATATATATAC